TATAGCAAACCTTTAAAAAATATGTTTATTTATTTAGTGTATGGATTTTTGTGTTTGTTTGTTTGTTTTGTTAGTTTGTTTTTTGAGTGGATAGGATTTGAGACAGGATTTGTAGCCCTGTCTGTCCTAGAATTCACTCTGTAGACCAGGATGTCCTCCAACACAGAGATCCACCTGCCTCTGCCTCCTGAGTGCTGGGATTATAGGCATTCACCACCACACCTGACTTTTTTTTTTCCTTGAGTATGTGTTTGTATATCTACATGCCATGGTGTGCATGCTGAGTTCAAATAACAACTTTCAGGATTTTATTTTCCATTCTCCATCTGGGAACCTGGGATTAAACTTGGATTTTCACTCCTTCTCACTGAGCTATCTCACCAGCACAATAGTGAACCTTGAATGAATTCTTCATTCCCTACTGTTTGCTTTCATCATTCTTCAATTCCTAGTGAACTGGCTTCTTACCCATCATTCTCTCACAAATACCACAATAACTGAGAGCTGATATCATCAAGGATTGCTACATTGTTGGTGCCTGGCAGTGTTGCATCCTTTCTGTACTGTGCTCGTCAGAAGCCTGGGCCACCCTTCCTTCTGTCCTCTTTCCATGCTGTATTAAGGTCTGATGAGTGTCCACTGTGTCCAGACTGCTGTCCTCAGCTCCTGCTACCTTCATCTTTCTGTGACTGGTAAGTGTTGGTGTAGATCAGGTTCCTGCAGGAAAGATTCTTGCTTCCACTTTCCATGAAGTCTCTCTTGGCAAATGCATTCACTCGTGGCTTAAATTATCACACCATCCAGCCATCTGCTGCTGTTCTTCAAGTTGATCCTCCTCAGCCAGGAACTCTCTGACTGGATGCCTTGATCATGGGTTTGGCAGGAGCCTCTAAACCTAGTATGTGAAACTCCACCACAGTTTCATCACCTATGGGGTCCTCTGCCCCTCCTATTGTCTCTATCTCAATAAAGCTTCAGTACCCACCAAGCTGAGTATGACTTTACTCTTCCTATTTGTCCTTCAATTATATAAAATTTGATGTCAAATCACTTCTTTTGGTGCCCATTCCAAAAGACAACATGTCTTCTGTCTGGACATAAAAACAACTTACCTCTGGTCTGTTCACTCACTTCCTGCTGTCTTCAAATACCCAGAATAGTTTTGTAGAAAATGAGAATCTAATATTTTGTCACACTCTTGAGGAAGATTTATTGCCTTAACTGTGAGGATACAGTCTGGATCCTGAGGTCTTGTGAAGAATTCTGTGTCCAATCCAGCCCTGATGCATCTGTCATTCCCTTCATTCTGAAAGACACCTCAGATGTATGGCATGTTAGAAGAGAAGCGGTACTTGACTCTTAACATGAGACTAATGAATGGACAGGCACAAAATATCACCTTCTACTTTCAATAGCTCTCAGTGCAATAACACAGTGGAAAGATTATGGACGTCAAGTTTTAGTTCCAACAGAGCAGGATTCATGCCTCCCTTGTTCCCTCTTCCTCATTGCCTGGCAGCAATGAAGTACTCACAACATCATAAGTGAGTACTGAACAAGTGAAGAAGTTCAGATCTTGGTGTGCATTTTAGATCTTCTGTGCAGCACAATTTACAGATGCTCCACAGTCATACTACGACATGACCCATGTCTTGATGCTTACATATTGTAACAAGCTGCTGTCAACAGAATCTAAAGACAATGGCAGCATACACTCACACTGCTGCCTTTGTGCACATGTTAAAGTACTTGAATCTGTAAGAATCACTAATTGACTATATCACTAAAGACTATATTATTTTCCTTGTTTCCCCTTTCCAAGCCAACCCAAGGAATATTGTATGTTCTTACGTGTCCTAATTCTGAATAAATAATGTACTACTACTGCCCTAGTCAATACAGATAAGAAAAAATTTGACCAAACAATTTATATTGATACAAAGACTCCATTCTATATCACTAATTTACTACATGATCTTTATTAATTTGTGAATTCCTAAAAATAATATAGCCAATGAATGTAAAATTATATAAAGAAAATTTCTCCCATCACCAGCCCATTCCCAAAGTTGATGGGTTTAACATTTTTCCCAACTATTTCTAAGTTCTATAGAGTTATATATAGTCATATTTATGTACATATATCACTAATTTATATCCCCTGAAAATTAGTCTTCAAATCATAATTATAAGTACATTTCCAGGTCAATAGTTCTGTCTGTAGATGCAATTTTATTGTTTTAAAATGACATCTTTTTTCACAATCATGATGAACACAATGTACTGAACATATTCTGAATAAAAGCAGTTACACCGTTCCAGGATTTTATCACTATAAACAACACTGCAATAAATATGCAGCAATACTTACTCAATGATGCCTTCATTTCTAGGCAAGATAGTCTCCACGTAGGATAATGGAATCAAAAGCACATGTGCATTTGTGAATGCATTTTTTTTGCTTAACTAGCTATTGCTTATTTCCAAAGTTTTACAGTTTCCTATTCCCAGGGTGGCGTTAGCATCGTCACATCACCACTCATATTTCTTTCCCTGTGAACTTCAGGAGTACCCCTCTTCCAGTGTAAGGTCAAATTTTCCCCCTCACAGGAATTTCTGTAGACTCCTCTTTACTCTTTTACTCCAGGTTTTTTTCTTGCTCTACATAGTGTTTGCACTGCTGCATTCCAACAAATGCCTATGTTCTGCTGTCAACGGGAGATAAGCTGCACTGGGAAAGCAAAAGCAGAAATTTCTCAATTTGACATTAGAAACAGTACAAAAGTAACCTTATGAAGTCTACCTCTTGACCAAAATGTTTGTTCAATAATCCTATCCCAAGAAAACACAGCCCTAAATTACCTTATTCACCTACTCTCTGATATACTTCCTGAAGAATACCTTTAGAGTATCTTCATTTCCATTTTCACTCCCCAAACCTGAACTTTACAGTACAGGAGCAAAATCCATGCTTCAGTGGATTTTCTATGTATTTTTCTTCTCTTTCAAGAACATTCCTTTAATAAACATTCCAAATTTCCCAAAATGTCAACCTCTATTTGCATTTAACTGTATTACATTAGATTTAGTTTTTCTTGCCTTCTATATTTTTTTCTCCTTGTGTTTCAAAATCTACATTCTGATCAGTTACCAAGATATGAGTAGAGTAATTCTTCAGTGTCCATAGATAAGACACATGGCCCATCTATATAGAGAAGCTTGCTTGCTTAAGTGAGACTGAGTTTGTCCAGATGGGTCTTGGCAGGGTGAAGTTCTTGGTTGCTGTCTTTGTTGACTCCTCCGGGCTAGTAATGAGGTTATTCAGGCGTCTTTAGCTCAGCTTTACACAGATGAAGGGTGTACTCGTGTTCTGGGTTGTGTTTCTTGAGTGTGTGACCTGCTAATACACTTTTTAATGTTGTAGTAAAGAATTTTCAGCTAGAAGTATGTGGGGATCTGTGTATCATCAATCTGACTTTAGATTCAGTGTAAACGAATACTTATTAGATTAGGTAAATTTTCCTCTATTGCTTATTGGTAGCCTATTTCTTACTCATCTGTTCCTCTGTCTCTGTCTCTGTCTCTCTCTCTCTCTTTCTCTCTCTGTGTGTGTGTGTGTGTGTGTGTGTGTGTGTGTATGTGTGTACATGTACGTGTACACATGTGTTTGTACCCTTGCATGTACTCAGAGGCCAGAAGACTCTGTCAAGTGTCCCACTCTAGCCCTCACGACCCTATTTACTTGAAATATGGTATTTCACTGGTGTTAGAGCTAGCTGGGTTTTTGGCTAGGGTGACTGGCCAGCAAGCCCCAGTGATCTTCCTGTCTCTGTCTACTACAGTGTTGGGATTATGGGTACAGTACAAGTAGCATGGCCACACCCAGCTGTTTATGTGTGTGACAGGCATCAAAAAATGGGGATCAGTTTCCAACATATGTGCAGTAAGTGCTTTTACCCATTGAGCCATCTCCCCAGCCCCCATTTCTTCCCTTTATAAAACAATATTTTTTATTACTTGTGTGTATGCATGCTATATGTGGGTGATGGTAGAGGACAGAAGAGGGAATAAAATTCCCTACCCAGAAGCTGGAGTTTCAGGTAATTGTAAGCCACCTGATGTTGGTGCTGGAAATGGAACTCAGGTCCTCTGGAGGAATAGCAGGAGCTCTGCCCCTCAGAGCCATCTGTTATCCACTGTTCATTTTTATTACTTTATAGTCTTTACACACAAAGTTCCACACCATATTTCTTCTAAGATATATATATTATCCTGTTTAGCTTTTGTTCTATGAGTTTTCCATGGCTACTGTCACAAATTACTAGAAGTATTTTGTCTGAGCATTGTAAGTACATTATATTCTAGCTCTGAAAGTTACAAGTCTGATGTGGGTTACCACAAAATAAAATCAAAGTGTTGTTAGGGTTGGCTTCCTTTCTGGTGTCTCTTGGGAAGGAAGTAGTTCCCCACCTGTTCTGTCATGTAGAAGTCACCTATGTCCAAAACCAATCAGACTGCAACACCTCCATCTTCTCCGTAGTCAATGGTTCTTCTTGTCTTTGCTGTTTGCCTCTTTGGCTTTTAGGTCTTTTGTGATTATAGTGAACCCACTTGAATAATCAAAGATAATCTCCTATCTCAAGGTCTTTTATTTAAAAATACCTGCAAATACCCTTTTCCCATACAAAGTAAATATCCTCATGATCTAAGCATTAGGACATAAATATCGTTAGATTTATCAATATTTTGTCTACCACACCTGTGTTAAGAAAAGACCCTTATAGTTTATCTCTCCTGTTGAGTAAGCAACAGTATCTAATTGAAGGGTAGACAACAATGATGAAGGAACAGTGAACTTAAGTCAATGTACTGATAATTTTCATGGCTTTTTGCTCTTCCCTATTAGCTTTTGTAGTACTCAATCCCTGATGCAGTACATTCCATACTTCCTCACAGTTTCTGTGGCTGGAGCAACTGACCACGTGTTCTTCTTCTTGCAGAATCCAGTGAACATGAAGACAAAAGTACAGGTGCCTCAGGGGAGACCCCCTCCCAGCCTTACCCTGCACCAGTGTACAGTCAGCCTGAAGAGCTAAAGGAACAGGTGGATGATACAAAGCCAACGAAGCCTGAGGAGAATGAGGACTTGGACCCATTGCCTGATAACTGGGAAATGGCCTACACAGAGAAGGGTGAAGTCTACTTCATTGAGTGAGTTTCAGGCATTTCTTTGAACATTATCCCAAAGATCATAACAAGATATTAATGGTATCACTAATGTGGATATGGTCAAAGAAACATAGGAGTATTATTATTTCTGCTAACAACTCAAAATGAGATATTGCTTCCATAGAGATAAGGATCCTAGATGACAGCTACTCGTAGCAAAGAATGAAATAAACTATATTATACACTCATAACAGTGGGATGTTAAAGAGACAAATCACCATGGGTTATTATTTTCGGATGAAAAAGACTCTTAAGGCAGTGGTTCTCAACCTTCCTAATGCTGTGACCCTTTAATATGCTTCCTCGTATTGTGGTAACCCCCAACCATAAAATTATTTTGTTTCTACTTCATCACTATAATTTTGTGACTGTTATGAATCATAATGTAAATATTTTTGAAGATAGAGGTTTACCAGTGGGGCTGAGACCCACAGGTTGAGAAATGCTGCTTTAAGGGGTCCTTAAAAAATGTTTGCCCGCCTCCTTCATAGACATATGCTTCAGGTGAGATCTTCTTAGCTCTTTATTTCCAGAAATGGCCACCATTATATTCAGGATGTAGGTAGAATGCAGTTGTTTCAAGCTAAATATTTGATGGTGACAAAAATCGAAGATTTTAACAGTTGGCTCTAAGGTCAGGTGTCAATAAGATAATTTGTATAACGATCATACTTCCGTCTAGTAAACTCCATTGTGTCTATTACCTGTCTTTATTAGTTTCTTTTGAGTGATGGTATTGGGTGCTGTTTACCATTTTCTTACTTACCAAAGAAGTGGAATATTGATCATTAACTTACAAGTGATGCTCAATCCAATCTGTTGTTCTTTCCCAACTTGTTTCTAAAATATTTATAATTCTTATAGTCTTTTAACAATATGTCCAACTTTCATATTTGTTATTGCTATTAGAACAACTTTTAAAAATCATAATTAACATAATTGTCCATATTTAGCAACATAGAACATTATAATTTTATACATGTATGCAATGTATAATAATGTTATTAAGGTAATTAATGCTTCCATACTCTGATACGATACTATTTGTATATGTTGAAAACCCTCTGACTCTCTCCCTCCAGCTTTATGTAATGGATAATTAGTAGCTATAAACTGTAGATGCTCTATCATTCCATTCAGTAGAATAATTTTTTTAAAGAAACTAACACTGAAGGTCTTGACCCAAATTTAAATCATTGTTATGAAGAATACAAGTAAAACATTGATTGGAAATAATAAAAACTAAAAATATTACAAATATACATCAACTCATTCCTTATGAATTATAAGAACCTCAAGGAAAAAAATAATAGAAATTGAAATTCTCAGTGTTGGGAGTAGATAAAAAGTACATATGCTCTGACTACTCAAGAAAGATATTAAAACTGTGTTCCCTTTCCCAACCTACAGTGATTTATAACTTAGATCTCCATAGGCAGAGCTCAGTTGTGAAATTGAAATGTTACCACATACCAATATTTAATTCTCACATGAAGCTGGAAAATTTGATACATGTGGCCCAAGGAATCCATAATCAGGTAATTACTTGGTGCTCTGCTTGACTCCAACATGGATGAGAAATGCAGTGTTTTACTAAAATGTATCACTAACCTCTGTATTTTGGCAAATCCAAGTTTATTTTTTTAAAGAGTAAAATCTCTTGCATGATTTTTATTTATATAATCAATGACACTGAGCCATCTGTTATCAGTTAGTTGAAAGGAGGAAGTTAGATTTTGTTAAATACAACCAACTAAAAATCCTAGAAACATTGATGAAAATATCATGACATCATTAAATACCATGTCAGACACTGACATTTAGAGCAATGAGACTGATGTATTAATTATGTAACACAGGATAGGTAAAGATATGTGGGAATAATGAAATAAAATACACTAGCACAAGTTGATTAAGGAATCACTTATAATGTATCCAATAATGCAATTGTGAAAACCTTCTTGATTTGTGCTTATAAAGTGAATTTTGCTCTTTAATTCAGTCAGGTTTAGGGACTGTGAATAAAAGGAACTTTGGAAGACAGAAGCCATTCCCAATGTTTATAGTAAATAATGGGGCTCTGTCTGGGTATGAGAAGATATAACAAAATGATTTTACTATTCTCCTCCTCAGTCTGCAGTATTGGTATTCAAAGACTCATATAGTTTTTGTTCTTGCTGTCAATCATATTATCAGGTCAGGAAAGAGAGAAAAATTGTCCTAGACAGTAAACAAAATTTGAATTTGTGATACTGTTTCAGTAAATGATAAACCTAGACAAGACCTAAGAGGTTGTCTTACTTTTCTATTGCTGTGAAAAGGCACCACGGCCAAGGCAACCCATACAAAGAAAGATGTTATTGAGGGCTTGCTTACAGTTTAGTTCATAACGATCATGGCAGGGAGCAAGGCAGCAGATAGACATGGCACTATAGCAGTATCTGAAATCTTGTATGTTGAGATAACAACAGTGAGTCAGAAAGAGACAGACGAGCTAACTGGGAATGGCCCCAGAGCAGTAGCTGAGAGCTTACATTTTGGTCCACAAGCTAGAAGCACAGAGGGATATAGTCAACTGGAAAAGGCTGGGCTTTTGAACCCTCAAAGCCCACCCCCTGTGACACACCTCCTCCAACAAGGACACACCTGCTGATCTTTCCCAAATAGTTCCACCAACTGAGGATCAAGCTTTAAACTATGGGCCTATGGGAGCCGTTCTCATTCAAACCATGGCAGAGGTTAAAGGGGGTGGGGTGACAGACTTGGGAAGTTGCTCTCATGTAGAAAAGTGGAGCTGTCCTGCTATAGGAATTGTTCTTATACAGACCTTCATCTCTGGGTAAGTTAGGAGTAATCTACTACAAAAAAAATCCTTGGAAATAGCTGCTTATTTTTCATTTTGCTAGATCATTAGTTCTTTTGAAAGAAGCAAGGAATTGACATTTTCATTATTTTACTTTGAGGTTTTTGTTTTTTCTTTTAATCTTTTTTTCTGTGATGCTAGAGGGAAGGATCAATCAGAAATATTAGGAACAGAGATAGGTTTAGGTTTAGGAACAGAGATAGGTTTAGGCATTAAGACAGAACGCAGTAAGAAATTCATTTCTATTGTGAACAGAGAAGTGATATCAAGGTAGACATATCTAGGATGTCAGGAAAAATGCGGACGTGTAGAGTGCAGGCTGAAGTGACCCACAAGGAGGCAAAGTGGCTGTGCTGCTCCGCAGGCTGCTGTGTGGAGTGGAAGCAGGCTGTATTTGTGCTGTGTTTGCTTCCGTCCCGTCTTTCCGTCCTCCGCAAAGGTGAATCCACTCCACGTGATGAGCTCGGGTACCACAGGGAGGTACCTGAACAGAGAGGATCTGTGTGTTGGCTGGTCCCTCATTTCCACAACTTCTACTTCCGCTTTCGGCATCGCACTCCCCTTTTCCTTCTCAACTGCATTTGACAAAAATCGCATTTCCACCTAATATTGTCATTTTGCAAGTACCTTTGCTGTTGATATCACAGGGAATTTGAGAAAAATTCTGTATTCTAAAAATTCCCAGGCAACAGGCATATTAGAGAAGGAGACAGGCAGGAGAAGCTGTTGGGCAGCGAGAGCCTTCTGAAGTCCTGAGCTATGGTGCTTCCAAGAGGAACCCTGGAGCACAGTTACAGTAACAGGAAGCCAAACAAGAAGCAGGGTAAAAATACGTGCAAATTTCTGATGGCTAATTAGCATGGGCATTATGTATAGCCTTTCTTTTCCTTGTAGGTAAGAACACTTCACATCTTTTAGTAATTGTCAAAAATACCAATTTTACATTGTAATCTAAAACGAATAGTTTATTTAAAATGCAAATGAAAATGTCACCTAAATATGTAAGCTCAATGTTTATTCAAGTATTTTAAAAGAGGAAAAGTAGAGTAATGGGAAAGAAAAGGAAAAGTAAAGAAGAAACATGAGATGAGTTGGGGGAAGAGCTTCCCTTGCTAAGAATTTGCCTTCAGAGGTCCCGATGTCCAGTGCTGGTACCCTTCTGCCTAGCAGTGACAGACAGCTCCCGACAGGGACCTTTCCCCACCAAACTTGACTGAATTTTGTCTCCTGTGAAAATAAAGATCATTATAAAATAGAAAATAAACAAGATCGCTATTTAAAATTGGTATATGCAAATTTATTTCTAAGCAGAATTCAATTCTGAAACATTAATAAGTATATATAATTAAACACAAATATAAGCATTGTAGTTTTAATTAAGGTGACAAGTAATTCTATTTGTCTTCTGTTTGAAAATATTTTATTTTGTATCACAGAATGGCTTATAAGGGTCAATGTTTATTTTTAAAAAATTGTGTGTGTGTGTGTGTGTGTGTGTGTGTGTGTGTGTGTGTGTATGCACACACATACATTACATGTGTACAAGTGCTCAAAGAGGCTAAAATAGGTCATTGGATCCTCAGGACTGGAGTTATAGACTGTTGTGACTGCCAACCATGGGTGCTGGTAGCTGAATTCAGGTTCTCTAGAAGAGCAGGATGCACTCTTAACTACTGAGCCATCTCTTAATCCCCAAACGTTAAGTCCTTCAGAAGTTTTGTATTTAGCCAGGTGGCAGTGCTGCACATCTTTAATCCCAGCACTTGGGAGGCAGAGCCAGATGGGTCTCTGTGAGTTCGAGGCCAGCACAGTCTACAAAGTAAATTCCAGGACAGGCACCAAAAGTACACAGAAAAACCCTGTCTTGAAAAAAACCAAAAAAAAAAAAAAAGTTTTATATTAAAAAGATAATTTTATTGTTGTTTTCACACTGATGAGTTAATGAGACATTTCTGTTTCCCACATTTTAAAGCTATTTCTTTAGATGAATTATAAAAACAGATTTTTTACTCTCTAGAATGACATTTTAGTAGGCAGAAAGAGTTATTTGATAAAATACTTTCAGCAAAATGGTTTTAAATTATGAGTGTTAATATTCTCCCAAACATACTTTTTAATG